GGAAAACGTCGTGGTACTCTCGGATGAGGTCACGAACTGCGGGCTCCAGGTCAGCCGTATATCGTGCGAGTTCCTCGGCGTCAGCGTCAGCGCCCGACGGCGGGGTGGACTCGACGGACGGCGGAGGGATGGAAGTAGAGATGGGAGCCATGGAGATAGAGGGAGGATCTGGCTCCAGAGGGATGAGCTCGGCGTCGGGACAGGGTGGATCATAGTGTAAGAGATCCGTCACGTCCACCATAAAGAAGATGACGTCGTCCTCTCAAATGAAGTGAGCGAACTGTCGAGGCGAGGTGACAGTGATAGAGGGGGATGGTGTGGGCACTGACGGCTCCGGGGGAGGAGGATCGGGGCGTGGTATTGCCGTGGTACCTATGAAAGGTACGCGATACGTCTGTCCACACTTTGTTTTGAGAACGAGAGTGTTGGTCACCCAATCGGCCTCGGTGCTGCGGAACCGACGAGACCACGGAGTGCCGAGAATGAAGTCGTACCCCGTCTCCATCACATCGAAATGTGCAGAGGAGCGGTGGCGACGAGACGCCAGGGAACGATCAGTCGGCTCAAGAGTGAGGAAGAAGGGGAGGTCGGTGACCGTCTGATCGAAGAAGCGCTGGGTCTTGTCATCCCCTAGGGTAACGGAGATGGGAGTCGGAGACCCTGTCGTGCGTAAGCGGGCTTCCTTCACCACGCGTGGGTGAATGTAGTCGTCGTGAGAACCGGAATCCCACAGCGTTGAGTACACCCTCGTGGAGGTCCCGAGTCGTACTGGGATGATCGGGAGGGTGCGATCAGGGTCAGAGAGGATGGCGAGAAGGCGACGCAGTGTAGCGGCATGGAGGGTGAGTCGCTCCTGACGAGCCTGGAGCATGCTCAAATCCAGAAGAGAGGACACAACGTCCTCGCGAGTAGCAAGCTGCTCGCTGCAACGGGCAGAGCGAATGGCTTGACGCGTCAGTAGTCGCGGAGGGGAAGGAGGGGAGATGGTGGTCTGCGGAGGCGCAGACGGTACTGCGACAGAGGGCTGAGTACACTCTGTCGAGTCCTGCGACACCTCAACTCCAGTAGCGAGATGAGCGAACCGCGACGGAGAAGTTGGGAAGCCCACTACTGAGGAGGGCGCAGGTGTACACTGCACCGTGGCTAGGAGGCGCCGCGGGGACGTGATGCGCCGGGGGGGGATTGAGCACGACGCTGATGAGAAAGGTCAACGTAGTGGCGGTCGAGGGCGGTAGTGTAAGGGCACCGCGAGGAGGTATGATCGTCCAAGCGACAGCGCAAACACCCACGTCGGCCCAGAATAGCCGCGCGGTCCTCAGCGGAAAGGACACCGCGAGGAGGGACGAAGCCCTGAGGGAGGTCCTCCTGAGGGACCTTAGGGGGCGACGAGCCAGTGTGACCGGGGCGGCTGCGTGCCCGAGAGAGGGCAAAGAGCGCGAGCTGAAGGCGCTCAGCTGCAGGGAGGGTAGAGTTCTCCAAGTGATAGTGGACGGCCTCGCAGAGATCGAGGTCGTCGCTGTGGTCGCCCTCAGGTGACAGTGGGGCAACAACGTCCTGCTCACCATACTCCAGCGCGCTGAAGCGGCGCGAGAAGTGGCGGCCCTGCTGCGTGGAACGGCGGGGGCGACCGCGGAAAGGGGAACGGCGTTGGGATGTGCCGTGAGAGGAGGAGGAGGCATAGCCTGTGCGCTGGGGCTGAGAGGAGGAGGCGGGGTGAAGACAGGCTCACATCCGCTGGTGGTCCCTGGCGGCCTCATAAGCCTGTGGGGCCGATGTGAACTCGTACCGCCATAGCTCGGAGCAGTACTCGAGCGGAAGGCTGGCCGAGAAACGATCGATAAGGGCAGCCTCGGGGAGGAACGCCACGTCGCAAACGAGGCGGGCGTCCTGAAAGACCTGGATGTGGCGATCCAGGCCGGCAGCGCCACCAGAGCCGGACCAGCGTGTAGCGACGACACGCTCGAAGGCGTCAGTCACGTCGTATCGGGCTCCGAAGCGATCCTCGAGGAGCGCCTGGAAATCCACGAAGGTCGGAGTCCAACCCTCACGAAGGGAGTAGTCATAGAAATCCTCCCAGGCCTCGAAAGGACCGCCACGCAGGCGCGTGGAGAGGTGACCCACCCACGTCTCAGGTGTGGCACCCATGAGCTGGAGTGTGCGGGTGGCAGACTGCAGCCACCGAGACATGCGTATGCCTGTACCATCATACAAGGCGATGTCCGACAAGCGGATGAGTGGTGCGCCACTGTTTTGGCGGCGAGGGGATCGAGGAGCGGAGGCCTGTGCCACGGCTGAGTAAGTCGGCGCAGGTCCTGGAGAAAGGGCCGCAGCCGACTGTGCGCCCGGGCCACATGGGGGAGTGGCGGTGGCAACATCGACAGGTTGCGAGGGTGATGCGGTAGAAGAGGTCGCAGCAACCGCGGGAGTAGGAAGAAGGTAGGAAGGAGTTGTATAGGGTGCAGGGCGCGGAAAGCGAGCCTGCATGGGAGGAAGGGTAGAGGAGGTAGGGGGTGCGCCCGAAGGCGCAGCCACCTGTGAGGGTGGGGGTGGCTGAAGTCGTAAGAGGGCGAGGTCGGCCCGGAGCTGGGCAATCTCGTCCGCGAGACCTCGAACGTAGGTCGATCGAGGGGTGGCGGGAGGAAGAGTGGAGGGGATGGATGCACAAGCGGCGCGGGGCATCCCAGAGGGGGAAGAGCCAGGTGGCGCTGCAGTCGTGCGAAGGGGAGGGAGAAGCAGGGCACCCGGAAAAGCTGAGACCATGGTAGCAGGTTGTTGTACCGTGGTCGTAGTGACCGGGATCTGGGCGGGTGCGCCCGTAGACTGAGGGGGGGCCTGGCTCGTGGCGGCCGTCGTGCTCAGAAAATCAGAAAAGAGGGTGGGAAAGAAGAGATTTCAATTTTTTGGAAAAGAGAAAAGATAAATCAAAAGAGAGGTGGAAAGAAGAAAAACAGAAAAAAATTCGAAGTAGGGGGGAAGGGGAATGAAAAAGTGAAGGAGAAAAGAAAGAAATAGGTGGGGGAGAAAAAAAGATAAAGAGGGAGGTAGTTGGGGGAGAGGAGGGATGGTGAAAGGTGGACAGGGATCAAGAAAGAAGGAGAAAGAAAAAAAGAAAAGAAGAGATGAAGAAAATAGAGTAAAAGAATGGGTGGTGGGAGAAAGGTGGGGTNAAAGAAGGAGAAAGAAAAAAAGAAAAGAAGAGATGAAGAAAATAGAGTAAAAGAATGGGTGGTGGGAGAAAGGTGGGGTGGGGAAGATGAAAGGAGGAGAGAAAAGATGCAGTGGAAGGTGGGGGAAAGAGAAGGGGTGAGTAAGAGGAGAGTGGGTTAGTAGAGGGAGAGGGGAGAAGGGAGTGATACCTGGCCCTTGGTGTCTCCAAGGGCACAAGGTACACCAAGAYCAGGAGGGTCTTGGTCTTTGCTTCAGCAGCCAGTTGGAGGAGAGAGGGGGGGCTGAGATCTTGATCAGCCCCCAACAGCACTTCTGTAGATGTCCAAATGTAGGGTCTGCTGTGTGAGCAGGCCCTCTCCATTGTAGAGCAGCCCCCCACGCAGGGGGGTCTTCAGTCCCACCACAGGTTGCCACGTGCCACGTGCACAGGCAGCAGCAGCCTGCCACGGAGGACAGGACTCCGGCAATCTGCTGCATGCGTTGTTGTGTATCTTCCAGTTCGGACAGCCACCCCTCTGCCCGGCGCTGGAGTTCCTCGGGTGAAGCCATGTCCTCCAGAATCACCACGTGTGGTAATCCCTGCGCAAGGACGCCTTCTTCATGCTGACCACGAGATGCCACCATCTCGCCTGCACCTTCACCTGCCCCGTCAGTCAAGCCCAATTGATCCATTGCTGACTGACCCACTAGCAACCTCCGGTGATGACGTCAACGCGTTCGGTCCTCCTCGGTAACACCGAGTCGTTGGGTCTCGAGACCGCCGGGCCTGCCGGCCGGTACGATCCCAGCGCGCTCGCGCAGCTCCATCAAGGACTTCACCGTGTTAACACCTCAGAGTTTGTTATTATTAATGGAAAAAAGATTGGACATTCTTTTTTTTCCTTTTCTGGTCTGTATGAAATTTTGCGCCGCTATTTTTATTAATGGAAAAAGTTTGGACGAGCATGCATATATCTGGATGGGGAAGAGGCTGGCTCTTCTTTTTGCCTTGGCTAAGTGAAGCCGTGGGTCGTTGGTTTGGGAATCTCGCGTCCTGGAAGTGTCGTCATTCAGTTGGTAGCAAGCCGCTTATGAGATGGTGGCTCAAGTTTTGCCGGAGGGGGAAGTCGGGATCGAATGACAATTTAGCCAATTAAGGGGGTCTACTAGTAGGTGTTCTTGTTCGCAATAGTCAATTTTCTTCCCCTTTTCTTTTCTGAAAAAAAGCAAACAATAATTGCTATAGCTGTAGAGAAGGGGAGATTTTAAATCGAAGGCTTAGGGTACTATAGTCAATGGCCTCAGCGTACTTCTCCTTGATAGCACCCGGGGCGTAAGGAATGAAGAAGTGCCATCAGGGAGGGGTGTTTATGGAAGCATCTTCTGCCTTGTTTAGGCTAAGTGGGGTGTAGGTCCACATTGTGCTTCATGGCTGCTACCGCAGGATGGAGACTATCCAGGTGCAGCGCTGCCGGGAGCGCTGCGCCCTGCCGAATCTATGCGCTGGGTTGTGTGGTAGTGCGGACGGCGCTATGCTTTGCCAGACTGACGTGTCCGATAATCTCCATCGCTTGCTACTTCGCCTCGCTGTTGGAGTCGTCATCAGCTGATGGGCACACGTGAGGGTGTTCTTCTAGACGATCCGCGAATATGATGAAATTTCGAAAAGGGCAATGGATTGGTTTTAGTGATAAGGTCTTCTCTCCTCTTTTCTTCAACAGGGTGGTAAGTGGATATGGATGGAGGCTTGAACCCCCTGTGGTGCCTTGCTAACAGGTTTGGTGAAGTGGAGCTACACCGTTTTTTTGTTTCCTTTTGGGAAACGGAAGATGGCCGTCGTGGTTTTCGGTGCTAGCGATGCTCAGAGCCTAGGTGCTAGCAACGGGAGGTGGTTTTCCTTCCCCCAAGATGCTGGGGTAGGGTTTGAGGGGGCCGTGGTAAGTTGGGGATTGTTGAAGAAGAAGGGAGAGGGACTATTTGTTGGATTGTTGCTCTGCTGGATTAGTTCATCATCAGGATGCTGCTCGTCATCACTATCATCATCATCAGGGTACTGCTCGTCATCATCATCAAGGCGTGGGTCTTCACTTCTGTCCAGCGCTAGTATCATTATCATCATCATCATCAGGGGTGCTGCT